TTTTTTCCAAAAATATAAGCACTAAAATATTGATGAATAAAATGAGATATAACAAAAATGGAAAAATGGAAGGAGGTCTGATAGGTGTGTTTCCCAACTCGGAGGCACTGCCATGTGACAGCAGTGATGGCACATGTAAAGAGAAAAGCCTATCGACAGTGAGAGTCTGATGCGCTCTAACAAGCAAAGAACACCCAGTAAATATCATCATATACCCAAAATGATACAAAATAGTACTGGAATAGATCTTAAGTCACCGAGTGTACTCACATCCCCAGAGAAGCTTTCTCTGCTGTAGGGAAGCACAGGATATGCCACTAGACCTCACCATCGCCTGGTAGAACCCCCAAATGTCCACCTGTGCCTTTGTCTCTAATGCTATGATCAATCTCTTGACAGTTAGAAGAGGGATAGACAGATGGTAGGAACAGGATCAGTAGGAAAGAATAACTCTTAATTATATGTTGATAAACGGAATTCTGATTTACACATATGCCCATACGATTTCAATATGTCTCTTCCATCATGAAGAATTTGATCACCCTAGCACTCATTATGACTATTCTATTTCCGGACTTGAGAGGCTAAATGTCTAACCTGTGGTGATTCAATCCAGAAGCTACCTCATCCTTTCCTAGCTAACACATACACAGGAGTTAGAGAAACACACGTTCCATTCCTCACATCCTTACCTTTGCAACAAAATAATCCCACATACTAAGCTCAGGAGGAATGAACTTTTCTTTGTAAGACGGCCTCTCAGCAGGCACTGGGGGTGGGGTGGCATCTTTTACAGGCCTTCCAGGGACCAGCATGCGCATGTTGAACCGCCTGCGGTGTTTATCCATGTCTTCGGAAGGAACAGGTGGTGCTAAATAAAGATAAAATAAAGAAAAAATATTAGCACTTATTTTTCATTATGAAATAAAAGAATGAACCTTTCTTTTTATCCTATGCTAGCCATGTTTCAAGGAGTCCTTGTAATGGGTTAGGCATTGAGCTGCTACTGCCAGGTCAGCAGTTCAAACCTACCAGCCACTTCACAGGCAAAAGATGAGGCAGTCAGAGCCCCCAAATATTTACAGCTTTTGGAAAATACTGTAAAGGCCAACAAACAGAGCTTGAACTATTTATAGGCTTTTCTATTTTTGTCAGTAGCTTTCTTTTTGTTGGATTTTTAGGGAGGGAAAGGGTTGTTATTGTTTTGTTGGTCTTGACTTTGTTGTTTTATTTGGCTTTGCCTGATTTTTGCGCTTATTAATGTATCTGCATGTCTATCTAGATAAGATAGGCGGGATAAATAATTCAGAGATGAAAAGAACGGGA